GAAGCACTCATCACGGAAATCGTTGCACCTGTGTCCACCAAGGCTATCACAGCCACATGATTCACCAAAACACGCACTTTGTTTTTCAACATACACACAGGATGTATTTCTCTCAGTAGCACGTTTCCAGCGACCTCACCCCCATTGGCCGCGCTGGCTAGTTTTCCGGTGGCGAAGAGGGCGCTTTGCGACGCAGTGGTGAAGGAGAACGATGAGCACGAGGTCGCGGTGGGGGCGTTAAACTCCTGTCAGATGCCGGGGAGTGGCTGCGGAAGCTGCTGGGCCAATAGCTGTCATCAGGTGGTATGTGGGCCGGCCGCCGGACACCATGAGACTGTTCGAAGGGTCGTGAAAAGTCAGATGGTTGGTGATACCGAGGAGTCACCCGACGGTTGCAAAATCGCGATATGTGGCCTGGCACACCGCAGGAATAGCTCACCGGCCGAGGTCGAAACGTCAGTCGCTCGTCAATGAATAGAGCGTCATCATTTGCTCTTGTGTGACGGATGTACTGGTTGGGTGCGTCGTACCTAGACGTCGGGTGTCGTGGAGGCATGCGCTGAGAGCGTCGGTCATACCGTGACGCGGGAAATCTGGTTGTCATCCTTGACTGTGGGGCTGGGCTGTACTCCACAGTTGCCGCGCTCATCGTCGGTTGCCATGGGGTCAAAGGAGGCACATTTATAGCCTCACGTGGCAGACACAACTCGCGATGGTCAGCTGTCGAACACGACATTTCTCGGTGGGACAGTTCCTCACGAACAATCTGTCGAATGGTAGAAAAAAGGTCGAGGCCAGGATTCGTGTCCACACTGGCAACAGTTGTAACGTTAGCCAGCCGACCAAACTTGGGTGCAATTCGACGCATCTTGAGCGTTTCAAACGTTCGGCAATGCTGAATGACGTCGGACACAGAAGTGAGGCTTTTTTTTCCAATTAGAAAATTATACACGTCCTCAGCTATACCTTTGAGCAGATGCCCAACTTTGTCCTCTTCCGACATGGTAGCACAGACCACCTTGCACAGCCTTAACACTTCTTCTATGTAAGTGGTGCATGTCTCACCTGGCAGCTGTGCCCGTTGCGACAGTGTTTGCTCAGCCCGCTTCTTTCTAGCAACCGAGTCGCCGAAACACGCCCTGAGCTCTTCAACAAAAAGATCCCACGTCGTGAGTGCGTCCTCGTGGTTCTCGTACCATACCAGTGCGGTGTCGGTCAGGGAGAACACTACGTTGGCTAGCATAGCGGCTGCATCCCAACCGTTGGACTTGCACACACGCTTGTACTTGGTTAGCCAGGCGTCGACATCTTCTTCGGCTTTTCCTCCGAAGGGAGGTGGAACTCGGTAGTACGGAAGCGGGCCAGATGGTGCCGTCCTGAAAACGCTTGCTTCTTCGGGCATGTCGAAGTCACTCACGGAAGATGGTGGGAGACCGGCAAGTCGACGGCTTCGTCGAAGCTGTGGCAGTGATCGTTCCGTAGTTGAAGCGCTTACCCAGCTCCTCCACCACTCTGTTACGTTTGAAAGAGACTGGTAAACGTTGAAAAAAGCCGTTTATTAGGTCGTGAGGGGCAGCTCAGAAGCGGCCGACTGGTTAGAGATCCTCCTGATCCTCTTCTTCCTCTCTCGCTCTGCACGACAAGTGCGTTCACCGTATACGCTTCTTTTTCTTCGTGCACGTACGCAACAATATCTTCGAAAAACTTGTGAGAAAATCCCCACCACTTTTACTCTTTACTCTTATCATGAAGTGAATAGAAAAACATGAGTGACGTGTGATTTGGTATATATATATATATATATATATATATATATATATATATATATATATATATATATATATATATATATATATATATATATATGTGTGTGTGTGTGTGTGTGTGTGTGTGTGTGTGTGTGTGTGTGTGTGTGTGTGTGACGTATGAAGCGACGGGTGGTAGAAGCAGAGAAGGAGGAAGTCAGAACGGAATAAACATGGCGTATGAGCCAGGCCACGCCGCCCATTCATCGTAGCGTCACACAAGTCGACAGGATGAAGACTTGGCGGCCACTTCATGAACCGGCCACCATCTTCGAACGTCTCAGCAAGACGCAGTGACCGAATGTGGACCACAAAAGTACATCCCTACTCTACACAAAGACCAGCATCATGACAGCACCATCAGATGACCTTGACATCCCCAAGTACACCGGATCAGCGGACGACGGACCCGTACAGGACTGGTTTAACCTATTCGAGCTCCACGCTGCCGCTGCATCCTGGTCGGAACGGGAGATGATCACAAACTTCACTGACTACATCTCAGGTGAGGCATTTAAGTTTTACCTCACCCACATCTTTGAAAATGACGAATCATGGCAAAAATCATAGAAGAGATGATTACCCGTTTTAACGACTATGACCAAGACCTGCTCAATGCCAACCGTCTAGAGACAACCGCACACTATCGTCAATTCCTTAAGCAGTCCTCAACCATTCGAAAGCCCAGCGCGAATCGACAACTGCCTCAACACGAAGTGGCACATGAGTTTACTTACAGAAGGTGATGCGTATATTGAGAAAAACCTAACGGTCAAGCGCGCCTCCCTTCTGCGCGAAAGTCAGCATTTCCGAATTCATCGCTTCAGCATATGACCCAAGACGTTGCTCAATCACCTGATGCCCTTCACTCTTCATCTCGCATACGTGGTCCACCAGCTGGGTTTTCGTCACGCGGTTTTTCAAGCGCTCCTATCGCTCGCCATTCGCCTCATAAGGACGCCGCGACCTCGGTAGACGACCTAACGCCTCATGAAAATACCCTGTCAAGCCATGCTCTTTTCGGACATGTTCATTCATCACCGTGCGTTGGGTTCACACACACTGGACAGTCGAAGCAAAGCAGAAGGCTCAGACGCATCGAACGTCGCAAGCTACCAGGCGCAAAAACCACTCGCAGTGAACTGCGAAGAAGCCCCTGAAGAGCTTCGTGTCGTTTCTGCGGCACCACGGACTTGCCGAAATCTGCAGTTCAAACCTAGTAATGCCACGTCACCTGTGGTATCCCCATACAGTGCTTACAGCTACAAGAAGCGAAAAAATGCAGAAGTAATACATACACCAAACCTCGCACGCAGCTGTCTGTCCGAAGCGTCCATACTGGAACACCTTATTGAAGACTTTGAAGAGCATAATGATGGCACATTACCAACTATGCCCGATAAGCAAGACACCAGCTCACCATGCAACAGCTGTCTACAGGACGCGTCAAACCTCGAAGAAAATGAATGCCCGATTCCAGAAGGGGCGCCACTACAGCCATCTCCTGAGCAGCACCAGCAAAGCAAGCAAAACGAAGATCATAAACTTAGAAAACAATGAGAGAGACTGCAACAAGGGCATCAGCGAACGCCAAATTCAACGGAAGCGCGTTCACCAGTTGAAGAACATCGAAAAACAGGATCTCCAAACCAACAAGACGTCATACACTTTCGGACAAAAAAAAGTCGCCAGAAACGCTCCCAGCGCCTGCTATTCCGCCGACTGCAACACCACAGAAACCACCGAGAAAGACGCGGAAGCACTGCTTGCAAACCGCAAGCACTCAGGCACTCCATCACAGTCTGTCGAGAAGCACGCAAGCAAGAAGCGTCGGGATTGCACCATTCACGGCGAAAAATACAACTCCGACGACATCCGAGCTGCCGATGCAACAAGGCGTTCCAACCTTGGTCAGCCCTAACAAGAGTTATAGCAGTACTGTCAGTATCCACATGTATCCCGCTATGTCTGGAACGCAACAGTCAGCCTCGCCCACCACAGTTGTTATAGAGTTCACCGGACTGCTCCCTCGCGCTTGAAGATTTAAAGAGACTGTGGAACTCCGTCGGGACGTGATACTGTGAATTTAGACATTGTCTGTTTATTGGCTTTTTCAATTTTTTGTAGGTTATAAACGGTGCCATTTTTCGGGGGAGGGGGAATCATGTGACGTATGAAGCGACGGTTGGTAGAAGCAGAGAAGGAACAAGTCAGAACGGAATAAACATGGCATATGAGCCAGGCCACGTCGCCCATTCATCGTAGCGTCACACACACACACACACACACACACACACACACACACACACACACACACACACACACACACACACACACACACACACACACACACATATATATATATATATATATATATATATATATATATATACATATATATATATGTGTGATTTAACAGACAGTAATGCTAAGGAATGTACAGGGGAAGTTATTAGAACCAATGGAATGTAAATAAGAAGAAAGAAAAGTGGATAAAAAAATAACCAGCCGTGAGCAGGAAACGAACCTACGACCTTCGAATAACGCGTTCGATGCTCTAACCACTGAGCTACCACAGCGGCCTTCCCTCCATTCACTTTTTTGGGTTTATATGTGAATTTAGAAGTAGGAGTGACAGTCAGCGCCATCTATAAGCCAAGCGACGAGTGTGGAAACACTCTATTATGCGCATGTTTGGCGTCACGTAGCACGTGAACTTATTATGAGCGGGCAGCTGAATAATAGTCCCTCGTATACAACCTAATGACACCAAGTCTGCCAGTACGGGACCCTCGTTTAGTGAAATAAGGGAAAGAAGTGTATACCTAAAGACTCATTTTTCCGAGTTTTCCGTGTTAAAACACGGAAAAACGAGCCCTTAGGTATACACTTCTCTCCATTATGTATATATATATATAAATAAATAAATAAATATATATATATATATATATATATATATATATATATATATATATATATATATATATATATATATATATATATATATATATATATATATATATATATATATATATACAATTAGGAATAAAGGAGAACACTCACGAAAAGTTGATAGTTGTTTACTCTACGTTTCGGCCGTGGCACGGCCTTCGTCAGGACTAATCTGACGAAGGCCGTGCCACGGCCGAAAGGTAGAGTAAACAACTATCAAGTTTTCGTGAGTGTGCTCCTTCATTGTGTGTGTGTGTGTGTGTGTGTGTGTAAACTTGGTGTAACTCCGTTGTCACATGTTAAATATGCATTAAGAGCTTTTTTATGACGCCTTGACATGCTTATCACCTTTTTTTTCATTATTTTCAATGTATCGAATGAGATTCAGAGGGAATGACAGGGCTGCTGCAAACAAAAGTCGCTACAAAACTGGTAGAGCATTAGGTTGTGCTCAGTGCTTCGAGCACAAACGCTTGCTTAGTCGTCGTGTCTGCGTAGTGAAACGACTCAGATAACTGAGCAGCATTTTCTTTAGAGCACTTACTACCCAATCGTTACCTACCGCGTAGCTGAAATGACATGACGTGAGTGATGACTTGTAGCCACGGGAAACTACTCGTGGGCAGCATGCGCAAGAGATGTGATGCGACAGCAGAATCACTTATTGAGCGATATGAGCTTCGATAAGCGGTCACAATAGAGTTCTTGCAATGAAAAAAAAAGAGTCTTGAAAGTCTGCAAAAGCACGTTCCTCGCAATCTTAAAGTGTTGCTTGTTGGGCACGTTGGATGGAAGAAGACATCCTCTGCGTTCACTGTCTCTACTCCTTCGGACTCTCTTCTTTCTTTGACGTTTTCCTTCGAGTTTTTTTTTGAATATTTTCCACATTTTCTTCCCATGCACCCTATCGGCCCACACTGGCACTTCCATCCAAAACAAAATCACTTGATCACACTGTGTAAACAAAATAATAAAACTCACTAGGCAAGCTTATACATGCAGTTGAAAATCATTGTACCAGTGGGATTTCTTTGTGTTTCCTGAAATATTTTCGTAATCAGAGGGCCTGATTCACAGAAACATACAGAACATCTGTGATATTGGATAGCATTATTTGATGGTACATTGATGCTCACCTAAAACGTACAAGTTCACGTGCAAGCGAAGCAATGAAAGAAAGCTGTGAATCACGATCGTGTGCACTAACGTGAAAAATTGAACTACATCGTGCGCGCACCACAATGCGAAAAACGCGATACAAGAGATTGCCAATATTGTCCTGGCCCATTGACATTTTGTGCAATAAGTTTGCGGTATAAACAGGCATTAACATGTGATACACTATGACATCCTCTTGTAACAGAACACTTGCACACCTTCGCATTCTCATGCAACCATGGTTAATTATTTTTTCTCGGCATCGGTCTCTACAATTCTCCAGTGTGGTGAGGTAGAACCCACTGCAGTGCAACTCTCAGTCTGCTGCAGCATGTTGTGCGTGATGAAGCGGGGAATTAAAGTTTCAAATGAAAGAAATATTTACAAATAAACATTCTAACAGTGCGTATGCCGCGAATGAGATAGACACGGCAAGGAATAATAAACAGTACAATGTCAGTCATGAATTTTGTGAATCTTACTTCAATAAAATCGCACACGCGTGCGAGTAGCGTCTCGTCGGAAAGAACGTTAAGATAAATAATAAACAACATTGACAGTACAAGGACGAAAAATTTGCCATCAAAAAAGAAAGAAATGAAATACTAATGCAGTCTTACATCACAGAATGTAACTCCAAATTTGAAGTATAACACTCAAATAAAATAAAAAACGGAGAGAGCAGCATCTGGTGGACAAGGCCCCTTGGTGAAGCGATGAATGAAGAGGGCGGCGGCAAGGGACGGAATAAACGACGCCGGCGCCGTCTCCGAGATTAATCAGCGAAGCCTGCGGTGCTTGGGAGTCGCCAGTGCACAGGCCACTTCGTAGAGCAACCGGTACTGGTTCTGCACAGAGGTACACTACGGGTAGGTATGAAACAAAATAATGAAAGAAAGAAAGTGCAGTTGTGTTCACACACACACACACACACACATATATATATATATATATATATATATATATATATATATATATATATATATATATATATATATATATATATATATATATATATATATATATATATATATATATATATATGCAAGAAACAGATGACGAAACTTTCACGGGAGCGTCTTTACTTGACGTTTTCAGCTCGTGGACCAGCCTTCGTCAGAAAGTCTGGTCTCCTTCGACCAGCCTTCGCCATTCTCAATTTCCCATTAAACACGTGCTCTCTGAAGAAGGCTGGTCCATCAGCTGAAAACGTTAAGTAAAGACGCTTCCGTGAAAGTTTCGTCGTCTCTTTCTTGCATACAATACGTCAGGTTCAGCGTGAATGACGTTCAAAGAGCAGCCGTAACTATTGGGCCGACACGGCGGCTTTCCGCATTACTTCTTTTCGTCTATGCTTCCGGCAGCAAAGCTTCTCTAATTTGCGTTACTGTGCTTGTGGAGGTGTGCCCAACGTTAGGGAATTCACACGAAAATTCATGCTCTGCCCCGCAGTATGGCGACGCAATTGAACTCTGACAGATGCCAGCTTCCTCTTGTTTTCCAAAGGCAAGCGTCGTACCGATTACCCAGTTTTGTAGCATGGGTACGCGCAAGGAAAGCTGGAGTAATGTAGAAATTCGTGGGTTTTAACGTTACAAAACCACAATATGATGACGAGAGACCCCATTGTGGAGGACTCCTGAAAATTCTAGCACCTGAGGTTCTTAACGTGCACCTAAGTCCATGTTCACGGGTTCCAAGCTGTCGCATCAATCGAAAATACGACCTCAGCTGCCGGGATTCAATCCCGTGACCTGCGGGTCAGTTGTCGAGCTTTTAACCACTACACAAAAGCCAGAGGAAAGAACTACTGCGGGACAATGTATCCCTTTGGTCACTGCGACAAGTACACAATCAGAAGTGCAACTACGCACAACACAGAGGGATGGCGTGACGAGTGGTTCTACGTGACTCGTAGGTGGTGCATTCTCAATTTCCCTTTTTCTTAGCCAACATGTCACCAAATTCTTGAGGCCATTCCGCTGAGTGGGCCGCCTATGAGAATACCGAAAGCATATTTTAGCCAATGACCTTCCCCTTTGAACACGTGCTCTTTCGACCCCATCCGGTATCACTTACCTTCTACATCTTGACCTTTAAAGTACTACGCCTGCTTCTCCCCCTTTTTTGTAACCGCTTTCTTGTTATGCGTCCCACTCTATAGTTGTTCGAGAACAGGCGTAAAGAGCAAACCACTGGCACGCGTACGCACGCGCCGACGCGTCAAAAGCGTCTAGTCACGCCTGTGGAGGAAAAGGGCTCGCAACCACTGGCACGCGTCAACCGCGTTGAAGCCCACACGTCCACGGCCAACGCACAGTGTTGCTTGATCTTTTGACTTAAAACTGTCCTAGCTCAGCACAGAACGGCGCGTTCTGAACTCGAGTGGGTTCGTGCGACGCCGAAGAACAGCGCGTTAAAATATTGATAGTGCTTCACCCGCCACAGTTTTGACTATAATAAATGTAATTGACATCGCAGCGAGCGAAGTAACTACAGCGGTATGCACCAAAAATCAAGAGCCGTGCGTGCGTCACTCGCGCGAACAAAAATTCACGTCTAGGATAATTTACATCTATCATAGGCGTGCGCAGGGTTCTCCTTAAAGGGGGGGAGGAATGTTCGCTGCAGTATCCCCCCCATTATGTCAATATAGGGGCTGCCTTAGCGCCCACTTCCCTTATATTAAAATCATCTTGGACCTGACATTGCGCCCCCCCCCCCGTCTCTTTGGTGACTAAGGGGCGATCGCCCCCTAATTATGTTTATAAATCAGGTTTATAAAAACTAAGGTGTAATAATCACCAGGTTGCTATACCTACACTACCAAATTCATTATATTCTGAATATCCTGGTACATTCAGTACGTTTACACTTTATAACTTACAGCTCTCATCAACTTAACAATCACTCCCAAAACTTCATGATGTGTCAGATTTATGTCATAAGACTACAATAGAGCCCTATGTAAAGGGCTCTCAAATGTTGTCTGCAAGAGAAATATCCTCTAATGCATCGAACCTCACCTGGCTCTTAATGATGCAACTGATATTGGTCATAAGATAGGAACTGCGTAGAATGCTTCTGAACATGTTTTGTAAGTGACAAATGCTTTGACACAACCAACTGTGCCTGACGCTTCATGGTGTGACAGACATTGGTCATAATACTGTACTAAGTGAATCCTGTATGGAAGACTTCATGGACGTAGTCAAAATATTATCTAAAGCGACAAACCGCACCCAATACTTCTTGATGTCACAGTTATCGTTCATAAGACTGCAACTGAACCCTGTATGAAAAGCTTTTTATTATGTGTGTATTAGAAATATCCTCCAATGCAAGAAAGCACACCTAGATCCTAATTATGCAAGATATATTGGTCAAAACATAGAAACTAAGCACTGCGTAGAATGCTTTTGGCCATAGTCTGTAGTCGAAGTATGCTCTAACGCAACTAACTGTGCCTGACACTTCATTATGTGACAGGTATTGCTCAAAAGACTGCCACTTAATCTTGTATGAAAGACTTCTGGACGTTCTCTGTAGTCTAAAAATTCTCTAAAAACACAAATTGCACACAGAACTTCATGAGGTCACATATTTCCGTCATAAGATTGCAAATGAACCCTGCGCGGAAGGCTTTTGAACGTTGTCTGCAGCGAAAAGGTTCACCAATGCAATAAACCACACCCGACCCATCACGACGCAACAGATATCAGTCAGTATATTGGAATAGGGCACTGCGTGGTACCCTTTTGGATGATATATTTATTTATTTTCAAGTACTGCAGCCCAGCGCACGGTTACTGCAGGAGTGATGCACATAAATATAAAATGAAAGCATTGAAACAGTAGTATCGCAATATGTGTGCCAACGTAAACAAATATATTACTACATACTAAGAGGAGCCCGTTAAAAAACGAGAGATACAGAAAAATGAGAGAATCAGAACAAGTGCCTACAAAATGTCAGACACACTGGTATCACGAACCAAACCAAGTAGATCCTTACAGTGTTTGATAACTTTATTTGAACGCGTTAGAGCGCACTACAAATGACTTCTAAGCTGGATGGTGATATCAGATCAGTGCTGTGTTGAAGGCTTTAGCACTTTACTGGTAGTTTCAATATCCATTAACATCTACAAAATGCATCTGACACTTCTTGATGAGACAGATATTGGTTTTGAGATTTCAGCCAAGCACTGCGTAGAAGGCTTTCACATGTGTTCAGTGGTCAAAATACCCTATAATGCAATAAAGTCTGCGCAAAATCTTCGATGCGACAGATATTGGTCATAGTGTTGCACCAGAGCACTGTACAGAATTTTCGGCAAGTTTTTTAACGTAGCTAAACTGAATATCTTGATATTTTGAGTATGCTTAACTGCATCCCCATATAGTTTAGGTTAATGCGTATACTAAAAAAACTGAACAGAAATGAAGCAGTCCATGGACACACATACAAAGAATCAATGTTCGAAATCATCTAATAATATCTTCAGCTCATAACAGTGTGGAGGAAGCGATAAATACTTGTACAGTTCTGAGTAATCTCATAATCACATGAGGCAGTTATTGCAGTTCTTCTAAACAAAGGGAAGTACAGTACTAGTGCACATTCATTCATTCATTTTGTGGTCATATGGGGACCTTCTCTTCTTACTATCGTGTCATCATGCAGGTGACTACAAAGCAGGTGCTTGTCACAAGGTTTTTAGTTATCTGCCCAGCTGTAAACAAAACGCGTGTTATATAATAATAAACTGCAAAACTACAGAGAAATGCCATTGCATGCCTATAGCTATGAGTATCAGAATGAACTAGAAATTAAGAATGTGTGTGTCAGAATGCTGCCAACAACGTATGTGTTACTGAGCGTGGCAGAGAAGCGAAACAAGCGAGAAGTGAAATAGCAGGCAATACCAGCAGCACTTGAGCATGCAACTTTTTTTTCGATCACCACAGCAACTCGCGTTCGAGTTTCTATTTTGTACGTGAATGGAAATGAGACCGCTGACAGCTGAATGTGTCAGTGTCACTGGTACCCGGAACGAAGTGATATCACACTGCTACCAACCAGCGCACGCTTGCTATTAGCTTGGCAACACACGAAAACAATTTTCACCGAAGCCAACGTATGTTTCAGCGTCGTACAATCCACGAATACACTTATATAAGTACGTACGTTTTCACATCACTGAAATGTGTTGGGTAGTGCGAGGTTCGCTTTCAGTGATGATGAATATCGATGTTGAAAACACAGTTCAGGTGAAAACTCCGTATGCACTACACGATGTTTCGGGCGTCGTATATACTATCTATGTTGCAACGGAAACTACCGTCGATTTTTTTCAGCCGATGTTGCTCGCATGAGCTGGTTCATACGAACTCGACGGTAGAGGCCTACGCTGGATGCAGATGAGACCGCTCTGGATATCCTCCGCGGTAGGCAAGGGCTCACGCTCAAAGCTTCGAACCTCCGATGTCTGTTTACACTCGTGTTTAACACAGAAAATCACGTACCAAAGCACAGGAACACCGACATGCTCCAGTAGTCTGTCCGATGTTTTCGCTCAGCCGATGATCGCACTCGAGACAAGCGCAAGCACCGCCGGCCGGCATTCACTGGATTTGTCGGTGTCGCTCGAACTCGGCACGAAACTGCGTCACGCTGGTAGCACTCGCAGTACTTCGTCGTGTGGTTGTCATTCTAGATTACGAAGCGGTCATTCAGAAACATTAGGAGCAGTTTCTGTGCTTGCTTCCAGCACTCGCTCGTGCCTTCGAAGCGGCGGCCATCAGGCACAGCATTCGGAGGCATCGCGGCCCCTGGTTGGTTGGC